TCTTTCTATTTTCCAAAACTTTGAGAAAGGACTGCAGCACCTTCACAAAGCCCTTCCACCCTTTCTGCAATCTCCCTTCCGGTACACATAACATCTGTTTTCCAGATGTTCCAAAGAACTCCTCCACTGTGATGAACCAGCCCTTCCAATTCCTCTTCAGTTCTATTACATACTTCTTGCCTAGAACTTTATTGAGTTTCTCCATCCATTCACCTTGCCGGAGATGATGGCTCCATCTACAAATCCTTTCATCCATACGATGACTTCACTTAGAACCAGTACTGTTGCCCTGTTGTTTTCTCTTATCTTTAGTGCTTCCTTGCCTCTTACCTGTTCCTCTTCAAACTTGAAAGTCTTAGCTTCAATCGACATCTCAGCTCTCCATCTTCCTACAGTTCAGAAACCTCTCTCCCCCTCCATCTCTTCTTAAAATTTCTTTTAGGATTAGGGGGTCTATAGGCATTGTTAAATTGAGTCCTCAAATTGTTTCTCACCTCATCTCCTTTTTAGCCTATATCCCTAGCTCTTCTAATCTATTCAGCTTCTATCAGATTTAATTAATCCATGTCCTCTCAGAAATAAGGGGTAAAACAAGGTCTTAACCATAGAACTTCAATCAATAGACTTCAAAATAACGAGTAAATATAAATAAATAAAGATAAGAGTCTTACAAGCTTATCTATTGAAATATTACTTGACAATATTTCTCTATGATATCTATATGTAATTCATCAAAAAAAAATCTCTATATGTAGACTCAAATATTTCTGTGTAGAGACTGGGAGGTGGTGACTAGAAGCTCTTCTAAGAAGGAAAAGGTGCAGATGGTTTGGCAACCTCCTGAAGGTTTTATGAAGTTAAACTTTGATGGATGCAGGCAAGGTAACCTGGGCCCCTCTGGAACAGGAGGGATGTTGAAAAACACAGAAAGACATGTTGTTGCTTTGTTCTCAGGTCCAGTTGGTAATGAGGGACTTGGCTAGAGCTAAATTACTTGTACTGCAAGGAGTTAAAATCGCAAGTGATTTGAATAATGCTAAATGTGGTGATTGAAGGGATTGAAAACTGGCAGTGGGATGGATAGAAAAAGAAACAATGGCATATGCTTATCATGCTTACTAGTTATGTAATATATGACTACAGAGTTTTGAAAATCCTTTTCACTTAACCACTTTTCATGCATCAATGATGGTGGCAATGCTGTCAATCACCTTGCTCTATCATGACAACTAATTATGTTTCAAGTCTCAGAGTTAGTTTTGAATCTCAAGTCTATCATGTGTATATCACTCTATTTCTTAATTGATAATATGAGAAAGATTGTATTAATTGGATGTTGAAAAAGGAAAAGAAATAAAAAAAAAAGAGAAAACTATATATTTTGCTACATATTTTGACTTTTTCTATTCTCACTATGATAATTGCCTTCTGAATCTTGCATAGATTTAATGGTGGGAAATCAAATCAAAAGAGATGCATGAGCCAGTGTTTTCAACCCATTGTTGAGCTGGCCGGCTGGACCATTGACCTGGTGCCCTGGTCACAATCTCAGTTGGGGTCAACCTCAAATCTGCTATATAACAAAAGCCTGTTGACTCAGTCAACCACCTATCAATCTGGATAGTTGAACCAATGATTTGTCTAATGCGTGCAATGGGCCATCTGTTTTCTGGTTTTTTTAAATTTTTTTGAATTTTTTATGATGATGGCATCAGGGGTTGACCCACTGACCTGCAGGTTGAAGGCTGACCTGTTGACCCAGAGGGAAAAGCAGTTCAGCCTTTGGGCCGGGTTTTAAAACACTGGCTTGAAAAAAGTATTAGAGCTACTGGTGACAAAGTGAAATTCTATAGCCTTAGAGTTGACGCCAACAATACATAGTTGGCTTGCTGATATATATAAAAAAAAAAACAATATATAGTTGGCTTTGGTGATTAAGAAAAGAACCACTTGAGAGGCCTCAATTGGGTAATAGTTTTTGGTTCCAGATATTCTCCTTAATGAAAGTAACTTTAGTTATAATTTCATCTTCTATGCTGGCTAAGATATTTGAGGAAACATGATAAAGATTTAATAACTGCAAGTGGTCTCTAATGGTGTCCTGATTAGCTCAAGTGCACTTCTCTGGACCTCATTATGCCTCACATGCCTTCTATGGCTTGCTATCCTCAGTTCTTCTAAGTAAAATGCATAGATATCAATGTAGAAGACCAGTTAGCATAGATATAACACTGTATGTTGGTTACAAAAAAAGGCACTACTTTTTATATCTTCTGAAAAAAAGGCACTTTTACTTGGCATTGACATCAGATAACACCCCTTCCCTCCTGTCTTGACAAATATGCAGCACAAGGAAAATGTTGTATTCAACAATGCATTTATTGGAGTATGGTCAAGTCTTTAAAAGAAAAGAAAAAAGTTAATCCATAACGTCTTAAAGACCTTGACTGTCTAGCATAGAAGAAGGTGATGAAGGAAATTGCAACCATGGAAAGGAATGATACTTGCACTTTTATTGATTTAATTAATTGTAAACAAACAACAGGTTGTAAGTGGACAAACATTATATCAGAAAGCAATATCTTGGTGTCAAAGAGATTTTACTTGGACACCGTTTCAAATCAAGAAAAAAAAAGAGATTTACTTGGACATATGCAATAGACAAAACAGGGAAGATGCACTGGCATGATGAAAATAAGTTTTATTAGTCAATCCTTCTGGAAGACAACCAATTATGTGTAATGAGATAATTTTTGTTCTCAAATTCTTTTTTATTTAATGAAAATATTTTATTAACAAATTTTCTTCTCTAAATTCTGGAAGATTTTTGAAACCTCAATTCTCCTTAGAAATATTAGTGACAAAAGGTGACCTCTTGGACTTAGGGAATTAAAAGTTATGTAATCCATGCCTAAAAGAAAAAAATGAAGTAGATGATGATCTAGGAAACCTACATGCAACATGGAGAAGAACTGAGGGCCCGTTTAATTTGTGGGAATAGGGATCTGGAATCAGAATCAGAATGGGCCATTCCGATACCAACCATTTGGTTGGGCGGAATCGAAATCCCACCCCTCCCTTGGGAAAGAAATCCCATTCCAGCTGATTCCAATTCCCATTCCGATTCCTGTCTAAACCAAACAGACTATGGGAATAGACCACTGTGGTTCCGATTCTAACAATTTACAATTCTGATTCTGACTACGAACCAAACGGACCCTGAATATATTTACTCTCTTGAAGAAATCCATCCCCACCCCCAAAAATATGTAAAATGAAATATCTTTCTTGATACAATCAAATTATTTAACCTTCAATATTTTTGGTTCTCACTATAGAGACTACAATTGTCAAGGTATTGCCTACGTGGGCACCTAAGTAATGGCTAGGCATTTAACGCACCTTCCCATAGTTGGCTTGTATGGATACCTCAACATAATTAGACATGGATACATGATTTAAGACTTTTGGTGTATGATATTATGGCCTATGGGGTGACTATGCTACAATATTATAACATATAATATAAAAGGCCACTTTGGCTGAAAAAGGAAAAGGTTTCAACTACAATTGAGGGCTTAGAGTGGAGGGGAGGAGGAAGAGAAGAAAAGAAAACAATGAGGCTGGAGATCTGCAACCCTGCAAATGAACCTTTGTACATATCAGGCACCATCAGGGGCTTTGTCATTTTATATTTTCTTAATCCCTCCTCCCACTCCCACTCCTTTCTTCATTAGAATAAAATGAAGATTCCTCCATTTTGTTCAGTTTGTATGGATCTGACCTTTATGTTTTCTTTTTTCTTTTTATTTTTTATTTAATTACTTATCATCTTTCTATTCCCCCCCCCCGGCCCAAGGCTGTGTTTTGTTTGAAAGAAAGGTAGGGAAACCTATACAAACCTTGTATTTCCCTTCCTTTCCCTACCTTTTCTTTCAAACAAAACACAGCCCAAGTAACAGACCATAGGCTTTCCTCTGTCCCTTTTCCCAATTTTTCTTTATACAGAAAAGATAAGAATTATATTCCTTCCTTTCTATTCATCTCCATAACAGTGTGCAAAACATTGGCTCCAGTCGTTTTTTCCATTGCATCAGATATTCAGATTAAAGTTGATTATTTACCTCCAGACCCATGGTAAGTTCTCCCTCTTTTTATTTTTTCATTAACATCTGATATATCTTCATTTTATTTATTTTTTTTCTGAATTAATTATTGGTTAATTTTTCCTCCCCTTGTTATTGTTGAATTCTAGACTTGATATGTGAAATTTTGCATTGCTAGTTTGCTACTTGTATTGGTATAGAAAATTTATTGTTAGTAGTTGCTACTTGAAGCAGGAAAGACCCAAGAATTTCCACTTTTTTTTTCTCTCAAAACTCATCACCTAGTTGATGCCTAGGTCTAGGTGAGTGCCTTAACAACTATGACAGGAACTCCAGATATTTCTAATCAGACGCTGAATTGGTAGTATAAAGTTTATCTTTTATCATACATGATAGAGCATAGTGCTACATGATAGAGATTGAGCAAGAACCTAGTCCAAGCACACACCTGCACCAAAAGAAGGATTTCACAGTTTTGTCTTCGTTCGTTCTATTATGTGATTTTAGATGAATTAAAGTAAGCTAATGCCGAACTATATTTTCTTACATTCCCTCTGTTTGTATGACCATAAAGGGTTTGCATTGCAGACTACTGTTATTTCACAAATACTAACATCCGACGATCGGTCTAGCCTCAAGGGAAAAAGTTGCATATTTAAAGCTGTGTTTGGTTTGATAGAAAATAAGAGATAAACAGAATGTTAAGGAAAATTCCACAAATTTTGTTAAGAACTTTCCCACAACTTTCTGTTTGTCTCTTATTTTCAATCAAACCAAACATAGCCTACGAGTGTATGCAGGCGACATTGATAAAAATCACAACTTTCGAAAAAATCAGAAGAAAAATAGCAAAAAAAGTCAAAACCCAAAAATCAAAACTAAGAATTTTCGAACCTGAGCAACAACGGCGGCAATCGACATCCCCAGAGGAAGCGCCAGAGCATCTAAATCGCTCTCGTTGCGGCGACTATGGCGAATAGAAACCTTAGGCGTTTGGCTTTTAATCGTAACGCCGCGCAATCCATTCCTTTGGTGAGAAAAATAAGACAGAGAAGAAGAGGCACCGGAACCAGAACTAGAGAAATCAGTCAATTCCTTATTCTTCTTCTTTTTCTTCCTGATAACAGTTCCGCCATTGTTGATGGGTATCGAGTTCTGACAAGGAGAAGAACAGAGCTCCGCGTTTGCGTCGGCTGGAGGCACCTCAACCGTCCGATTAAAGTGATTTGCAGTCGTTTGGACGGTTGGGCCTTTTCCAACCTCTTCGACCTCATCTTCTGTGGTTAAAGTGAAACCAGGACTGGTGGATTCAGTGGCTAGCGAAGAAGTAGCGACCTCCATTACAGACTGCAGAGGCCAGGGCTGAAGATTTTGGTGGGCGGGACTAGACTTAAGTATGGATTTTAAAAGACTGCGAGGCAAAACGAAAAGGCGGAATCTCTGTGCATTCAAAGGAAGAAGGAACTTTGGGGCTTCCGCGGTTCGTTGCACGCTACGATGGACCCGTAAAAAGTAAAAGGGTAAAATATAAAAACCTCCCCTAAAGTTTCTAACAATAATAAAAACTTCCCCTTTAGTTTCACTTTAACAAAATTTTTTTTTGGATTTTTAAAGAAATCAACAAAAACCTCCCTTCCGTCATTGACCTCGACGGAAAATTTTCCTATTTTACCCTTTTATAAATTAGTTTATATATATTTTGTAAATTACTCTCTCTCTAGGAGTCAAGTGACACCGCTTCTTCACACTTTGATCCGTTCTTTCCCCAGTTTTAAAAGCCACGACCATCCCCCACTTCAACCTCCCTCCTTCCCTCTCTCTGAGCTTCCAAATGCCCCATTTCCCTCGTTGTCATGAAATCTTCAAAATGCCCCATCTCCCTCGCCATCATGAAATCTCCAGTAAGCCTATTACCTAGAAAAGAATATCAACATCAACAACTGAATTGCATTAAACTAATGGGTAGATGATGAAGGGGATGAGAGATTCATCGTATGGATGCCTAAATCTTGCAGAATAAAGGGGCGAATTTCAAAACTTTTTCTCTCCCTTCAATTGTGAATCGTATTCCCTATTTAGAAAATCATATTTTTAAGGATCATTCTTGAACCATAAACTGAACCAGATCTGAACCAAAAGAAGTAGGAGAGGATTATACCTGATACGGAGAAATAGTATCTCCCAACGAAGGTGTTCACGCCCAAGGAATGATCCAAAAACTGCTCCCACTGAAGATGGCACAGTGCAGAATGGAGCAGAATCAACAGTGTTCTTCTCCAAGAACTCTGTCCTTCGCAAGAAACAGTAGGATGGCACGTGAGCACAGCTTCCTATCAATTCTTTCTTAAAAAACTGATGTCAATATCAAATCTTGACTTCTCCCACAACTGGAGATCGAACTAGCAAACAGGGCGGCAAGAACAAGGAGGTGGCAAGAAAGAATTCTGCAGGGTTGCTTAATTCTTTCTTTTGTGATTTCAACTCTGAAGAGGATCTGATTATGTGTGTCTTCTAAAGGCTGCCGCCTCCTCCTTCTTTTGTTAACCCAAAGGATTAGTTCCTAATCCAATTAGAAGTTGCTTATCCAAATCATATTTGGATCAGACCTCTCTTTAGGTGATAAGGATAAACCCTTATCTTATTTGCAGATTAKATTAGCTTTCTCCTAATCTCATTAGGAGGTTTCTAGATCTGAATCACATTCAGATCTGGACTCTCTGAGTGGATAGGGTCTTGACCCTATCCTATCTGCTGATCTGAATCCTAGAACCGCCCCTCTTTAGTTAATCTCATTAAGCCAATTTGAATTGGCTTTAGGCCCATTAAGTCCATGTGCTCACTTATCCTCCAAACTGTTGCCCAGTTGAATATCCTTGTATGGCGTGGGACCCAAACATTGATCTACACATCAACCACATGGGTTCAGCCYAGCCTYTGTTACAAGGCCTGTCCGAATTCACTATAGGAAACAGTGAACCCCTGAGTCCATCACCATGGGCCCTTAAAGGGCCCAACATTTACACTAAATGGTTCCTGGGTCAAGCCACCTTATAAAAACCCAAGGACTGTGGGCAGATGCAAGATTAGCCCATTAAGTATTACCCTCAATGGTCTTACACTTAACCTTTCAGCCCATAATGATCAAACACTACCCGACAAGAGAGGACCTCTCCCTCGGCTGCAAGGAACAGTGTTGCACTCTCTACTCACATGGATCCCGAGAATTAAAACCCTTTTGCAAACATTTTGAAATCGTAATATATATATATATATATATATATATATATATGTTTATCTCTATATAAATATATTTTGCAAAAACAAATTTCAACGATTGAAATCGGCTGCCGGCAACTTTGGTTTCCATCAGAGAGAGTGTATCCCTGCTCATTCACTTTGTTCGACAAAGGGGCTGATCCTGTCACTATGATCACCCACTCAGATGAATTGTTAGACTGTCCCAACATACCTAGGTTTTGACCTGCTCTAAGGATCTCACTGATTGGCATATCAAAGACAGTCCAATCCAACACCTAATGCAGTATCATAATCGAGTCTAGGGGTCAGGTGTAACATTCCAATTTTGCCCATCAATCTCCAAGGTCCAGGGCAATACTGGAATTTTGGACCGGTTCACGGTTTCAAGAAAACCCACACTGCATGTACCTCAGGTCTCACCCTGGCAGCTGAGACAAGCCACCCCAACCAACTTGGCGACACATCAGTGTTAGCCTTGGCAAGATAAATCTCCCCAGATCTATCCAACATCTGTGAAGATTCTAAGCTAACACGAGTCTTATATGTGTCCAGTTTAAGGGTATTACACAGAAACACACCATAATAACATGAATCAAATATGTACTTTATTCATTTACATTAAATGTCATAATGTACATCATTCTGATTGGAGCTAAGGGCATACACTGTCTAACATGTGACTCCAGTGTGTTGCCATCCAGCATAAGGTTACGATACCAGTCAACGTAGTTTGGGCCTTTAAGTTTGTTGTCATCCAACAACTTTGCAAATTGTCTGTTTGCCATTTTTGATAAAAAGCAAATATTAGTCCACAACCTTATTTGATTAATGTAATCTACATAGATATGGATTTTAATCTATGTTCCATTCCCATTTGTTCATCTTTGAGATTTCCCTCTTATCTCAGTGACGGAGACTACGAATTATGTCTCTGAAAATGTGGGAAATGACATAGGGTGCATGGAGCCAACTATTTAAGCTGCATAACTCCACCGCCTTTCTGTGAAGGATTATATCCACTCATCTTATGAGCTTTCCCTTTGGCCTCTGTCAGACAAGGTTCATTGTCATTTTAGGTTAAACCTTTCTATCCAGTGAGTGCTCACCCATCATATTCGTGAACACCAAGGTTGTTGGACAGTTTTGTATGCCCTTAGCTTCAATCAGTTTTGATGTACTTTTGATATTTAGTGTAAATAAATAAAGTACATGTTTGATTCATGTTGTGTGGTATGTTTCTGTGTAAGACCCTTAAACTGGACACTTAATGAGACTCGTGTTAGTTTAGAATGTTCATAGCCATTGGATAAGTCTGGGGAGATTT